CCCTTGATTGTTCTATTTATTATTTCTATGTATTTCTGAATTCCAGGGATGAGGGCATATTCTTTCTTCTAAATACTATATATACCTTTAACTCACCTAGAAAACAATCTTGTTGGCCACTTACAAACTGATAGATATAGACTTTTCATTTTTTAAAAGTCTACATATATCTTATGGCTTCCCTCCTGTATATATAATGTGATCTCAAATGTAATAAATCAAAGAGTTTTATCTTTGTGCTAGAACTGTTCTTCTTACAATGTCTCAGTATCTATGAATGGTAGCTTCCCCCACTTTTACAGCTTTACCTTCACAGCTTGCACCTTTCTTTAATAAAAAAAAAAAAGTCCAGTGTCTCCCCCTTTTCTATCCCACAAAGCTCATTCTAAATGGTATAGCCAGTTGAATAAGTATATCAGTTCTTGCCATTATCACATCTTGGTTCAAAAGCCTCTTCCAATGTTATTCCCTGTGAAAAACATAAAAAACTCTATAGAACATAGCTGTGGTATGCTTGTTGACTCTGCTTTTTTCTCTGACTTAACCTTCTACTCTTCAATTCTTTAAATTCTATGTTTCATGTTGCAAATCCTCCTAGAATGCCTCTATATCATCATCTATAGGACTATATTCCTCTTGTCTAGAATACTTTCCAATAAACATCACAATGGTTTACATTGATATTCCTTCCACTTAAACTCACAAGGCAATGTGGGTTTGCTGTCCTACAACCGCTTAAATGCCCTCTCCCAACCCTTCCTTTCTCTGAAGTACCATCAGTACTTTCTTGTTTATCTTGATTTCTGATACATGTTTTTAACAAACAGTGAAGGATTCTGATGAATATTTAATGAATGACCAAATACTTAAATTTTGAAAGTAGGTTTTACTTAGTAAGGTTCATGGAGAAAAAAATGTCAAGAAAGCTATGTTATAAGAGAACAACATAAAAAGCCCATGGATATTTGGAAATGGAAGTCTCAGAAGCATGATAAATGGGTAGGGGGGAAAGACTATCCTCTATGAATTCATACAAGTATGAACAAGGAAGCTCTAGGAATTGCCATGGCTGCAAGAGCTGATCATGGATACAGAAGACTGAGGAGGTGATATTGAGTTAACGCCAAACCAGGATCCATCAGTCTCCTACAATCTCTTCTAAGTATCTGTTTCTTCCTATAATCCACTACAAACCCCAAATTGGTAAAATAAAATTGTAAAGTCTTAATCAACATCACTCAAATTATTTCAAAAATAAGTAACAAGGTGAAAAGAATAATTAAAAACTTTGATCTTACTTTAAATGCCTCAATATTTAGGTAATTGGAGAGTTTGACAAACAAGTTATAATCTAAAACTTAATAGAAGTAATTTTGAGAAACATTGCTTTAATATTTGTGTTCAATGACATTCAAAATTATCTAAATTAATTATGCAAGACACATACAAACTTATAAATATATATAAATATAGAAAATATATAAATATATTATAAAAATATATAATATAGTGTTATTAATATATTATGTATTAATATAATATATCCTTTTATGTATAATATATACTATTTAATATATAATATATTATATATGTGTGTATGTTTCTCACTGAGTTCATTTAGATGAATTATAATTAATTCCATTAATAATAATACTATAATATATAAATATATTTAATATATACTATTATACAAAATAAGAGTCAATGAGGCTATAGATTTAAGAGGGATGGATGTAACGGGGTAGATGGGATGGAGAGAGTTGGGGGAGAGGACATGTTAGGCATTGCACAGAGGAGAAAAAAGGGAAGAAGAAATGATATAACACTATTTTAATTAAATTTTTAATTTAAATAAAGTAAACCTTAGATAATTATGACAGAATTTAAAAAAAGACTTCCTTGGTGGAAATGTTTTGGGGAATTAAAATAGTGAAGTGAGTGTTTTTTTTACTAGTATCAGAAATGTCACTATACTAATCTGACTATGAACTATTAAAGGGTTAAAGACAACTGTTGAGACACTAGATGAACGCTATTATGTTCCTATTGCAAAGCCCAAGAAAATACACTATGCCTGTTAATTTTCTTTAGCAGTTCTCTGATGTATTATAATCTGTTCTAATAGGCTGAATATCACTGTATAATTTGCAAATATCAAGGACAGAATGTAAATTAGTTATAGTTCTTCATCCTTCATCAGAAATATGTATTTAAATAACAAAGAATATGCATCATAAACAGAAGCCTTTAAGAGTCAGTCTCAAAGACTTTCTCTCAGGGTAAAAGGAGACACTTCATAAGCATAGGAACTATTATCTGAGGGACAAATCTGCTCACACCACATTCTTTCTATCTGTGTCTCTTTATTGTTCTAAAAAATTCCACCTCTACAGTGACGGTGGTGTCTGCTTATAAACATTTACAACCGTCATTCTTTGAACAATGCAATTCAAGACTTGAATTTCTCAGGGTCACCAAGGCAGGTAAGATTCACACACAGAGCAATAAATGTCAGCTTTAATTTACAGCACAAAATGGGAGTTGGTTAGTGAAGGCTCCTTGATGAGGTCAACTAGAGGTTAAATCAGCAAGGGAATCTAAGAGGAGAATTTGTGTGCTTAAAATACATTCCTAAGTGTGGCTAAGTAATAAGCTAAAAGTTTATAATCAGTAAAAGTTATAAATAAGATAAAAAAAAAAAAAACTGTCTTTTTCTCCAGGAACCACTTCCTAGTGGGCAGGGTTAGCATTCTGGATAACTAGACAACTTGTGTAAATAGTGGTGCAGTTTTCACCAGTGTTGGCTGGCTTAAAAGAAAGTCTCAGATCTAAAAGATTACACCTAGTGCTTAAGGATGTAGAACAAAGAGAGAATTTAAGCTTAATTTGCACAAGAAATATAACCTGGCACCTTCCAGCTGCTCTGGCTGAAGCAGCATAGGTCTTCAGCAGGTCTGTGGAAAAGTTTACTTTCCTTTGGGAAAGAGCAAGAAGCTGATTAGCTTTCTCATTATTTTCTCCAGGTAAATTCAAGCAATAAATTTCAAAGCGAAAATCTTGTGTCAATAAACCCAAGTGGTAGTAAGTACAAGAAGTTAAGAAACTTTTAGTGTGAGGTTAGTTTAGTTCATCACTACTCTTATCTATAGGTGAGGTAAAAAACAGGGCACGCTTGTCCTCTATCTAAGTGTCTATGAATCAACATTTTCAGACACGTAGTAACTGTGTGTCCTTGGTGTGTCTGGAAATGTCTCAAGTGAGACACTTTGGCCCAGACACTTAACTCTGACCAAATGCCTACCAATAAAGGTAACTGCAGGAAGGCAGATCTCTACATTTACATTGGAGAAAGAAACAAATTCCTCCTTGTGGGAAGCAGGTTTTTTGACTATGTGACTCTTTGCACACATAGTTAGAGAATGTTATCAATATAGCCCAAATGCATAGAGGAAATTGTACCCAATAGATCATTAAAGACTTTTAAATCATGGGAAATGAACTGCAAATTGTAACAGATGGGAATAAGCTATGACTTCTGCAGCAAGAATTCATTCAAAAGGCAATAACTCCAACTCACTTTGCATGATGGCTCAGTCCTTTACCAGGACCCTTTGTTGTGATAAGTTGACCTTTATCAATGATGGCTGAATCTCTACTGTATAACCCTGCAGTTCCCAGCACATCATTAACTTCAGTGTTTTACTACATGTAAGTTATCATCACTGTTGGCCGGGCAGTGGTGGTGCACGCCTTTAATCCCAGCACTCGGGAGCCAGAGCCAGGTGGATCTCTGTGAGTTCGAGGCCAGCCTGGGCTACAAAGTGAGTCCCAGGAAAGGCACAAAGCTACACAGAGAAACCCTGTCTCGAAAAACCAAAAAAAAAAAGTTATCATCATTGCAATGATAAATAATCTGCATATCAGGTTTATTAAGCATATAAATCTATTAATCAGGTGTTGTGCCCAGATCGTAACCCCCAGAGAGACCAACAAGGACAAGTATACCAGAATGCAAAAGCAAGGTTTACTTCTGCTGCAAGTCACGACAGGGAACTCATCTCAAGTCATCTCAAGTGAGGCAGGGAAGAGTTACTCTTTCTTGGGGAAGTTAGTTTTTATAGGCAAAACCCATAAAATTTCTTAGAGGGGAGGGAGTTAGTACGGGTCCATCCTTGATTGGTACAGTTTTTCCCAGGCCTGGACTTTATCTTATTCTAGCTTATCTGTTTGCCCTGTCAGGAGTTTTACATCTCATCTCCAGGGTCTGGTCATGTTATTCCGGAGAGGGGCATCTCGTGGTTAATTAGTTACCATCAGACATCCTGACTTTGTTCTTTTGAGTTCCTGGGGCTGGTGCCATCATTTCTGGGCACTTGAAACTGCCCTGGGTCTATCTATATTGAGATATCTTTGTCTAAGGCCCCCTTTTTGAGACAATAGAGTGAGGGTCTTGTTGTGCCTAGATCGCATCCCCAAAGCCACCACTGGAGACTTGAGGTACAGAATGCAAAAGTAAGGTGTATTCTAAGTTTATAAGCCTCCAGGGAGGCTCTTCCAAATCTCTCACTCACAACAGGGAGGTTGGAAGGAGCACTCCCCTTTCTTTGTGAGGCTAGTTCTTAAAGGCACAGACCATATAATTTATTTTAACCTGCCTCCCCTTTTTTAGTCTTTTGGTCGAATATCCTGACTCTGTGTTTTCCAAAGGCCCTGTAGCAGATACAGCCACCTGGGGAAAAGGGGTCTAAGTTCTTATCTACACTTAGGAATCCTGGTTTAAGCTTCTCTTTGTCTATAGGGGATAGAGTGGGGGGTTTTACTGAGATATCACATCAGGCTTTAATATTCTTAGCATTATAATGTCGATGAGAGTACTGTAATTTTATACATTATATATTCTTGATTCCAGATGTTTGTTACACATAAAAATGGCCACTTCTTGACAATATTGTGAAGAAATTAATTTTCCCCTCATTTATTTATTTCTCTTTTCCTTTCAGGAGTTGGAATTTTCAAATTTATTTGCTGTTCTTCACTGTATTCATTCATTTTTTGCTGCCAAAGTAGCTTGTTTGGACCCTCTATTTTTAGGTAATAAGGCTGCTGCTTCTACTGCTGCCAGCTCTGCTTCTACAAGCAAAGCAAAGCATGTGGCTTAACATGCTGAGTTCTACCTTAGAGTCCTCAGGGTCACTCCTCACTTCCACCCTGGGGAAACCACACTTTCACCAAGTCAACAGTGAATGAAGTAAGACTGCAACCCCAGCAGAAGAAGGTCAGGAAGTATCTGCAGCATATCTTACCCTGTAAGGCATCTGCAAACAATGCTGCATAGGCAGAGCAGCCTATTCTTTCTCCTCTGATCTTTATCAGGACATAGATGACCATATGTATGGTTACAAATGTTTGGTGTAAAGTATGTAAATAACATAAAGTTGTAAGCTACCTATAAATAAAAATGCCAGTTAAATGGTTATTTCTCTATTTTAGATTATTTTGTATGACAAATGCATAGTGGGCCAAAATCATGAACCAATGCCATATCATTGTATTAAGAGTGTAAAGAAGTTTAAAAAAAATGAAAGCAAGGCAAGTAGCATGCAAAAAAAAATAATGAAGTTAAGACATCAAAAACAGAAGTACCTTAACTTATCCATATGAGTTACTCCCTGTGTTCCCATCCTATGGTTCCACATGAGCACTCCAGTTCTGTTTACCTGATTTTAAATATTATGCAGAATAAACAAAGACAATTACATTGGTCTGTGATAACACACTAGGAAATTAAACATTTTTTCTTGGGTGAATGTTACAAAAATATTTTATATTAACAAATGGTACTAGTCATGAATGGCCAAAATACTCATGACTCTCCTGTTCTTCATTGAAATACATTTATTCTTATTTTTTGCCTAATGAGATTTATGAACAAACTAAACTTGCATAAATTTAAGTGAACCAAAGCTCTTGCAAAGAAAATCAAATCAACAAATCCTATGTAAGAAATAAGACTTTGCAATCCTTTTCTATTTAATCAAGAATTGAAAAGTTCCTGAAAAGTAGCCACAGACCATTTGAGAGCTGGTGATGTTATCATTTGAGTATATTTGTGAGTAAATTAAGTGAGATTTAAAAACAAAATTCAAAATATATACCATCGAATGCCATGGAGAGTGATCAAGTAGTTTCAAATGATTAGGCCACTGTAGTTAGCTTGTGTTAGCATTAGAAAAGTGAAAGGACAGAAATTTGCAGTGTGGAGGTATATAATCTCAGCTTAGAATCTGATCTTGGTAGTCATACAAAGCAGGAAGCATTCTCTGGTCCTCATATAAGGCTCTCTAGGTGTCTTCTTTTAAACAACTGGCTACTTATTGACAGGTAAATAAAAAGTATATTTTTACTTGTACACATTACAATTGAACATTTTTCTATCCCTTTTTAAATGACCAAGTTTCTAATAGGCAGTTCAATATTGTTTCCTTAAATATAAGAAAATCCCACATAAGACTTGAGAGGAAAACAAAAGTATTTGTATAGAGGAACATATGTCCATGAAAGTAAAGTCAACAAGTAGCAAGCAATTTTCATAATCATTAGAAATATTAATTAATTTTGCATTAGGTCAAGTGAAATCTCATAATGAGATCTGAAAAATGTAAGGTTAGGTCTTAGATGACTTTCCAGAGGAATGAAAAAAATTAATAATAAATGTTTACAAATTCAGTCTTTATAATAAATTTCAATGCTTACTATATCCACCAAACATAAAAGCTATTGTAAAATTTGAATATCACCAAAATCTGAGTTCTGACTTTCTACCATAAAGTCGAAAGAGTAAAGACTGACAAACCTTACTATCTCTTCTGAAACCTCTGCTATTGAGCATGGAGCAGCCACAGGTTGGATGACCTGTTCTATAGTGCATGTGAAATGTGTCTGTCATCTAAAAGTAAAATAAATTAGAAATAGCCTGGGATTTAAAACCATACAGAGGTCTTCTGTAATTATTTAACATATTTTAGGGGACTGGAGAGATGACTTAGTGGTTAAGGGCTATTATTGCTCTTTCAGAACATGGGTTTGGTTCCAGCACCCACACCGTGACTCACAACCATCTGTAACTAAAACTCCAAGGGTTTTGATGCCTTCTTTTGAAGTCAGTAGCTAAACATGTGTGTGTTACATAGACATACATACACCACATTTTTAAAAAAGTAGATTTTACAAAGTTCATTTAAACATGCAAAAATGTCCTTTTTGTTGTTACATCAAATATTCTACCAGTGCTCACATTGAAGAAAATAGCAAATGTATGAGATGAGATCTCTGAGTACAGACACATAAATGTATAGAGACAAGTATAAAATGCTGAGATTAATTATAATGAAAGAAAATGTTTCACATATATATATAGCATAATTTGAATTCAGCAATAAAGTGTTGCTTGAATTAAAACATATTGAAACAACCTTAGTATTGTTACTTTTTATAACATTGATTAAAATAGCACCATGCTGAAATTGTTGTTTAACACAATTAGTGGCCCAAGCAGCAATTAGGAAAATACTGTTCTGATTTTCATCAGTTTAACAGTTAGTGTTTTATGCTTTCTTTATACTGTTATTAAGCATTGTTATTTGCTGTTGTGGCTTGGACTACTTGAATGAGAAAGTCTAGAAATTAATCAAAACACAGATTTCAGTTTCACAGCAACTTAGGTTCAGATATAGAATTTTTTTTTCAAAAACCCAAGTTTGTGTATTAAACACATATGAGAATGCTTAATGATGTGTTAATCCTCTAGTGCCTTGGTGGATGTATACTCATATACATGTATTTGGGGAGAAATTAAAGGGCATATTAAAGTGTACAAGCTTAAAGAGAAATGTAGTTATTCTGAGTTAGAAACAGGAGTTTAAAATCATTTGAAAACTGCTAAGATAAGAAGGTCTTTTATGTGATAAAAATAACAAATCAACTGAACTGAAATATATTAAAGCAGGGGCATTTGAATTTCTTATAGTGCAACTTCAAAAACACCTTAATTGATGATTTAAGTACAATAAATCCCCAATACTTCCCATCTAATCTTATTTTTAAAGAGTGGGATGAGCTAATAATTTCTCGCCCATATTTCAGGCATGAACTGACTTGTTTTAAAGCCATTGATCATAAAACTCACCCAGCAAGAAGAAAGACAATTAATGCCAAGTCAATATTGGCAGACACAGAAAACACTTCCATATAGACAGTGTGGTTTTCTTCTGGACACATTAGCTGATGAATCCACATATCCCTTATTTATGGTGACAAAGATTGTTCATAGTATTGTCCATGTAGAATGCTGACATAATTGAAGCTTGGTTTATCACTGAGGAAAACTGATTCTTAGCAATCACTTTACTTCACTGTTTCAAACCAGAAGTGTGGAGAAGTGTTCCCAATCTAAAGACAAGCTTATACTTAACTCTGCAAGGTAAGTGTCCATGTTCCAACTTAATGATAAACATTTCACTCCTGTAGGTATTGATCATGAGCTTAAGGACTGACTCTCTTGATGAGTATCTCTAGAATCATTGATGATATTTTTTTCTGACTCCTTAATACTTAAATTCATGTCACTTTATATTATAGCTTACCCTTAATGATAAATAAAATATTATAAATGTTATATATTTTATACATATTACAATGTAGTGACATAGAAAGAAAAAATGTAAATATCTTTATTTCCTATTTAAATGTTTGGTGTATATTTCTAAAATGTAAATTCAGATCTGTAACAACTTGCCACTCTCTCTTTGAGTTCATCAATGACTTATTACAAAAATAAAGCAAACAGAAAAACCTTTTTTAATGAAGCATATTAAAAAATAAAAATAGAAGCTTTTACTACTTCCAATTTTGTATCATTTGTCTGGCTTTGATCTGTAAGTTTCAAAGAAATTTAATCTATAATCCTGACAGAATGAAGTTGAATGTAAAAGGGAAAATCTGATCTCTCTACTAGAAGTACAAACCAGAAATACAATCTGTTCTGGCTCATTAATATTCATAAACATTTGGTGTCTGACCTCTGAACGACAGCAGAGACATAAGGAAGGTGCTGTTTGTGAAATTACTTAACCAACCAAAAAGTTGCAGCTTTTGAAAGCATTACAACTTTGATATCTATATAGTGGTCCATTAGGAACAGCATCTATATTGAGAAACTAGGCCAAAGACATCATTATCTTATCACTAATAATTGAGGAGCAATTACTGAGGTATACTGTGCCTTTCCTTAAAGCCATAATTGTTATTCATGTGATCACAGCATCATAAGAGCATGCTCACAAGAATCTCTTCCAAACAATCCCAATGGTCATATTGTCCTTGTTACTAAATGAACTCTAAAATGTTTACAGCTTGTTGCTGTTGTTCCATCTTTTTCAGTTTAAAAACCAGGAAGAAATTTAGACATCCATAAAAAAATAGTAAATACCCATCATGTATAATTCCAATAACTGAAGTGAATACAAAGAAAAAGAAGTAGTAAGTCTTAACACCACTAAAATAAACAGAATCCATTTTAGATGAATGTTGCTCAATCCATCATTGTCCAAAAAGAAGTAAATGAAGAATTTTAAGTTGATATACAAACAAGTGCATCAAGTATCTTTATAAAAACAATTGGGTTGGTGTAGTAATTTATCAGTGCAGTGCTGATCTAGCATGAATAATGTCATTGGTTCTCTCCCTAGTGAAGCAAATATTAATTGTAATTAATATAACAACAAAATACTCCAGGATTTTAAGAAATGCAATGGGAAACAGTTATTCAGAGAAAATATATGAATAAAATTAACATAATATATATGCTATCTTTTAAAAGTATTTTATTAATCTTTAAGGATTGCTTACACTATATTTTTATCATATTCAGCCTCTCTTTTCAACTCCTCCATGATCCACTGCCACCTCTCTATGAAGTCATCATTTTTTGGGGAAGGGACCAGAGTGACAATCTCCTGGAGTATGATTGACCTACAAGGATTGTACCCTTAAAGAAAACTGATTCTATCTTTCCCATCATCTGTTAATTGTCAATAGCTCCTCAGATAGGGGTAAAGTTGTACATAGTGTCACAGTCCTTGTGAGTTCATATGTGCTACCATCCTGTTGTGTTAGGTAAAGGGTTTCTTTGTAGTTATCTACCACCTATGGCTCTTATAAACTGTCATGCCTGGGCCTTGAGAAACAAGCATATGATATAGATTTTCAATTTGTTTCTAATAGCTTTTATCTTGATTAACAACTATAATATATTTGCTTCTTGGAATTTATGCTTTTCCAAAGAGAAGGAGATATAAACAAAGGTGGAGGTATACATGTATTTGAAAGAGGCAAATGTTATAAAGAACTTTAATTAAAGCTTTTGTTTCAAAATAAGTTGAGTTTTGATAAATGAATATGGCTCTGTAACATCACCAAGATTATTATTTAAAACAATCTCTCCTTCCCCCACCACACACACATTGCTATGTTTATACACATGGACTACTGGACCAGGATTTTACCTGGATTCTTGGAATCAAAATTCACTAAGCTATCTCCTGAGCCATAGTTTTGCATTTTTAAATATGTAGGGAGAAAGAGGGCACTTCTAAAACATGGCAGCTTTCTTAGTGAGAATGCATCTGAGTTCCTTTCATGGTGTCCATCAGTCTGTGTGATTTCATCATGGGAAAATTTCTTTCATATGTGGAAGCTCTAGGCCTTGTGCCTTCTCACTGGAGATGAGGGTTCCTTGGTTCTAGTTTTTGAGGAAAACATAAAATGTCACTCTACAGCTTAATATGCACAGACTTATTTGTGGAAATAAATTTTCAATTTACTTTATTAAGTCCCTGGACTACTATTGTTATTCCCTAAGCTAGATATATTTTTAATTAGTTGCCAAAGTAGCCCCCACTTTCTTACAGGCTTCAAAACAGTGAATTGTTGTTCCAGATCTCAGTACCACTTGGCATTGCCACTCTTGATGATATTAAGAAAGGTTAAGATTATATTTCCCTAGCCGGGCGTTAGTGGCGCACGCCTTTAATCCCAGCACTTGGGAGGCAGAGGCAGGCAGATCTCTGTGAGTTCGAGGCCAGCCTGGGTTACCAAGTGAGCTCCAGGAAAGGCGCAAAGCTACACAGAGAAACCCTGTCTCGAAAAAAAAAAAAAAAAGATTATATTTCCCTAAACTGAATATATTTTCATATGCTAATTTGACACAATTGTTTTTAGTTTGATTTTCCTTTCTAATAAAGTCTTTTTTCAAATCCTTCAGCATCAAGTAACTTTTGTATAATAATATTGGTTTTATTTAGCTTTTAGAATAATTTGTATTTTATGTGTGTGGGTGTTTTACCTGTTATCATATTCATGCTGTTCCTGTGGAAGCCTAAAGAACATGTTGGATCCTCCAGATATGGAGTTACAGACAGTTGATAGACACCATTTGGGTGCAGAGTACTTAACTTAGGTACATGGGAAGAGCAACCAGAGCTCTTAACCACTGAGCCATCTCTCCAGCTCTTAATCACAGTAGTTTTTAGTTATAAAGTTTGTGTTGATATGTATTAATTCGCCATAGTGTTTGGGTTCATAAACACATTTTCATGAAAGCAAATCATTTATTTGGACCACATTATCTTCTTTCTTCATCATTCTCATTCAAATATTTCCATCCATTACCCAAGAATATCTCACTTTAAGTGCCATGCCATATGTAATATTTATACCCTAAATTAATTTACAAATTTACTAATATAGTTAATATGACATGACAATGGAAGTGATATGTATTACATATGTACATATGTGCTTATGATATACACACTCATACAATTTTTATGTATCATAAACAATATAGAATTCAAAAAGTGAGAATATGCAATGTTTGTCCTTCCTACTCTGATGTATTTTATTTAATATGATTATCTCCAATTGCCTCCATCTTTTTGACAACAGCACATTTTCCTTCTACTTTATGGCTGAATACAGGCAAGGACTTTCTGTAAAGGGTTGAAGTTGCTAAGATATAAAACTAATCATTGTGAATGGATCACAGGAAGGTAAACAGCTTCTTTTAGTAAAACAGTTAAGGAAAAGTCCAGTCTGCAGAACAGGAGGCTATCTATCTCCTGCCTGCACATGGGAAGATGACTCATATCTATCAGCAGATATATCAGTTTCTTCTTGAGTATGGAAAAAATTATAATCATAATGGGAATCCTTCACCATATAGATGTCAGCCAAACTCTGCAACCCTTAGTCTTGTGTCAGGGACAAGGATAGAATCTCTAGTTAGTGGAAAAATGCAGACCCCCATAAGACAAGGAACTAGATTATTTTACAGTCAGGATGTTGAGTCAGAGCCCTTGACCCTTTCACCCTGTAAACATCCTATACAAACATCCTGTTAACTTGCCCCACCTTATGCAGATGACAGCTTCTTGCTCCCCCCACCCTGCAGGAAATACATAAACCCTCCTAGAGAAAAATAAAGTTGTACCTTGATCAGAGTCTTGACTTGGTGTATTTCCTTTGTATCTCCTGTCCCTACATTCCCTCCTTAGGGTGGTTGAGTACCCATTGTAGCCTTGGAGGCCCAATGGTTCTCTTGGAAATATTGAATAGGTATTCAGAATTTGGTAAAGTACATTTAATAATTTTTTCCTTTCTTGTTTGATTTTGGTATAAAACACAATTTAGGTCTTATAAATTATTTTTAAATAGAGATCACAGTTTTTTTATATTCATCTCAAGAAGTCTTGATATTCAAGGCTTTAGCTTCAGCAATAGGTTTATCAAATATATGAAATTAGTTTATATATTTATCTGAAAACAAAACAGGACAACTTCAATATGCATAAACTAATTATTGTGATCTACTGTTTTAATAATGTTTGTTAAAATTTATTCTTGGGCTAATAATGTAGCTCAGTGGCAAAGAACTTGCCTATCCTATCCATAGAAGCCAATTCAGTGTTCAATTTCCAACACTGAAGAAAGAAACAAACCAACAAAACTTTCTGTGTAATGATGGTTCATTCATTAATAGGACATGCTCTTGCAGATGACCTGAGTTCAATTCCTAGCATCCCATCAGGCATCTCACAAATACCTGGAATGCATGTTTTATAGGCACCTGATACCTTTTTCTGGCTCCAATGGGTACACATATACATCAAAACTAAAACAACAAAAATCAAGCAAACAAATGAAACAACAATTTTATCCTGGTACAGAAACTTGTGTAATATTCCTGAGACTAAGGCCAGAAAACCAATATTTTGAGATAATCTTAGACAAGAAAGGGAGATATGTGGTGAACATAACTAGATGATGTTGCTGAGTCCCCAGGTTTGATTCCCAGCACCCATACAGTGGCACAAAATTGTAATTATAGTTTCAGGGGATCTGACATTTGCTTGCTTTTGCACCTCTGCAGACACTTCACACATGTCAATACAGGCAAAACACATACACATAAAGTAATAAAAATATTTTAAAAGCCACTAATAAAACAAACCAGTAGTAGTTTAAAAGAAAATGGCCCACAAAGGGGGTGGCACTATTGGGGGTGTGTGGCCTTGATAGAGAAAGAATGCTATTGTGGGCGTGTGTTTTGAAGGGTACTTTGCTCAAACTATGCTCAGTGGGACACACTTGCTTCTACTATCTGCAGATCAAGATGTGGAATTCTCAGCTCTTTCTTCAGCACCATATCTGCCTGTATGCTCTTGTTAAGATAATTAATTAAACCCCTGAATGTAAGTCATTCCCAGTTAAATGTTTTTCTTTACAAGAGTGCAATGGTAATCACGTCTCTTCATAGCAATAGAAATTGGAAGACACTATCTTGTATCA